CATTCTAATATGCAGTCATGAATGGGTTGACATTATTTGTACAATTATTACAATATTGCAGTAGTCTGCATAACAGTAAATCTTCTATTTTTGTTTGAATAAAAATTCAAAATAGAAAGCAAGAGTAATATCAGAGTGGCCTGGAGACGTGAATGATGAACAAAGAAAATGTTATTTTAGAGCCAGGAATGTCTGCATTGTTCATTCTGGACCTTATTTTGAAATTTTCATATTTTTTAATTTTCATGAAATTGGCCAAATTGCAAATTTCTGACCACGTTATTAGATAGTTGAAATCGGTAAATTGGCAGTTTCTTGTACTCAGTCGATAGAAAAGATGGAGTTCTAAAGAAATAGCTATGAGTTTGGTCGACTGGAACAATAGAATTAGCCGAAAATAGGGCTCAAATTGGGCGAAATCGCCGATTTGTAAATATCGCTCTGGAGAGGTTCGCTTCATAACTTTTGCTAAGAGCGTATATTCCAGGAGACACCTCAAGATTGGGGGTTGCGACAGTCAAGGGGTTAAACAATGACTGTAATTTATAAATAAGAAATATTTACATTTTAATTTATAAATAAGTAAGTTTATTCAGGTATACACAAATACAGTTACATACATAGATTATCATACATAGCAGCATATGTGTAAAGTATCCCAGGATAACCCAAAAAATTCAAGAGTGACATATTTTCATTGGTGTCCTTTTATATTTACACTTATATTTACTTTTATACTTCTTTCTTTCTTTCAACACACCGGCCGTATCCCACCGAGGCGGGGTGGCCCAAAAGGAAAAATGAGTTTCTCCTTTTACATTTAGTAATATATACAGGAGAAGAGGTTACTAGCCCCTTGCTCCCGGCATTTTAGTCGCCTCTTACAACACGCATGGCTTATGGAGGAAGAATTCTGTTCCACTTCCCCATGGAGATAAGAGGAAATAAACAAGAATAAGAACTAGAACGAAAATAGAAGAAAACCCAGAGGGGTGTGTATATATGTGCTTGTACATGTATGTGTAGTGTGACTTAAGTGTAAGTAGAAGTAGCAAGACATACCTGGAATCTTGCATGTTCATGAGACAGAAAAAAGGACACCAGCAATCCTACCATTATGTAAAACAATTAAAGGCTTCCGTTTTACACTCGCTTGGCAGGACGGTAGTACCTCCCTGGGCGGTTGCTGTCTACCAACCTACTACCTATAACTTTTATACTTACACTTTTATATTTACCTTGGAGAATGTTAGTTTAATTAGTTTGATGAAGGAGATGTTGGCAGAGGTTTAGGGTGGTGGAAGATAGCAGGGCGGTGTATGTTCAGCGGTCCTATACACATCCAACAACATTGGAGAGTTACTCTTGTGTTGTTTTTCTATCGCTTACTCGCTTCACTTACTTGCTACACTATTAATTCTACACTTTATTGCTGACTGGAGTTATAGCTTTTATCAATACCTGCTGCTTTAGTATCATACATATTGTAGAATCACTGAATCACTGCAGAAGACACATTCTCCCCTCTCTCTTCCTCCTCTACTTTAGTATACTTTGCTATGAGTTTTTCTTGAATTCTATCGTGTTTCTCACCTTCTTTACCAAAGGGCCCATGGTGGCTTATTTAGTAGTTGCAAGCACAAAAAACAATGAATTATTATGAAATGTGTTGTATGAACCCATGGGGTGATGGTCACATGTTGGTAAACAATGGCACACTGAGTGTGAATAGTGCGGGAGACTGGCTTTGTGTGCACGCTGACAGGCAGATGTGTACCAGAAGGTCGCCAAATCATGAGTCCAATTACGAACCACGAAGCTAAATTTTGCCGAAAAAACTTGCCGAAAGTCGGATTTCACAAAAATTGCTGCCGCCGAATGGCGGGGGTCCACTGTATGTGTAGTGTGACCTAAGTGTAAGGAGAAGTAGCAAAATGTACCTGAAATCTTGCATGTACATGAGACAGAAAAAAGACACCAGCAATCCTACCATCTGTAAAACAATTACAGGCTTCCATTTTACGCTCACTTGGCAGGATGGTAGCACCTCCCTGGGTGGTTGCTGTCTACCAACCTACTACCTAGGATATATACCTGGAGTTACCTGGAGAGAGTTCCGGGGTTCAACGCCCCTGCAGCCCGGTCTGTGACCAGGCCGCCTGGTGGATCAGAGCCTGATCAATCAGGTTGTTACTGCTGGCTACACACAATCCAACGTACGAGCCACAGCCCGGCTGGTCAGGTACCGACTTTAGGGGCTTGTCCAGTGCCTGCTTGAAGACAGCCAGGGGTCTATTGGTAATCCCCCTTATGTATGCTGGGAGGCAGTTGAACAGTCTCGGGCCCCTGACACTTGTTGTATTGTCTCTTAAAGTGCTAGTGACACCCCTGCTTTTCATTGGGGGGATGTTGCATCATCTGTCGAGTCCTTTGCTTTCGTTGCGAGTGATTTTTGTGTGCAAGTTCGGTACTAGTCCCTCTAGGATTTTCCAGGTGTATATAATCATGCATCTCTCCTGCCTGCGTTCCAGGGAGTACAGGTTCAGGAACTTCAAGTGCTCCCAGTAATTGAGGTGTTTTATCTCTGTTATGTGCGCCGTGAAGGTTCTCTGTACATTTTCTAGGTCAGCAATTTCACCTGCCTTGAAAGGTGCTGTTCGTGTGCAGCAATATTCCAGCCTAGATAGAACAAGTGACCTGAAGAGTGTCATCATGGGCTTGGCATCCCTAGTTTTGAAGGTTCTCATTTTTTTTTTATTAACACACTGGCTGTTTCCCACCAAGGCAGGGTGGCCTGAAAAAGAAAAACTTTCATCATCATTCACTCCATCACTATCTTGCCAGAGGCATGCTTACACTACAGTTATAAAACTGCAATACTAACACCCCTCCTTCAGAGTTCCGGCACTGTACTTCCCATCTCCAGGAATCAAGTCCGGCCTGCCGATTTCCCTGAATCCCTTCATAAATGTTACCTTGCTTACACTCCAACAGCACATCAAGTCCTAAAAACCATTTGTCTCCATTTGCTCCTATCCAACACGCTCATGCACGCTTACTGGAAGTCCAATCACACACAAAACCTCCTTTTTGTATGTAAATATCATGTTATTTTAAGGAAGAGCAAGTGAAATAAACCAGAATTCTTTCAAAAAGTTTTTTTTTTTTTTTTTTTTTCAAAATTTTTGTTATGCATATTTATATATGTCAGTCTTACACATGATGATATAAACTTGTCAGTTTTACCCATGATGGAAACACTGTCAGTCTTAACATATGATGTAAACAGTATCAGTACTTGTCTCCACATATTCTCTTTTCATGGTTAGAATTTTTGTCATAGTAAGTGCAGTAAGTCTGTCCTTAATCTTGACAAAGACTTGACTTACACAAGGCACTTACAGAAGGTATCACATTGTTCTTTGTGTTAAATTATTATTACATATTACAATCAGAACTATGCGCTAAACCCACAAGGGTCATACAGCTCTGTTATAATTTCAGTGATTGCCTATATTTAATCACAGTACATTATATGCATATGTAATATTTTTCTAGTTTTCTTGTTAAAAGCAACATGAAGTTCCTTACTAAGAATAGTTGAAGTAGTGTTATTGTAGTCTAGCTTAGCTCTTGAAGGATACATACTGGATCTGTGCTCCAAGTCCCTGAATTAAGCCTGAATTCCTTCCATCCATCTCCCTACAGGCGCTGCATAATCCCTATGGGTTTAGTGCTCCCCCATAATAATAAAGGATACATAAAATAACAATCAGTAATAATAGTTTTTATTTGATGATAGTTATTCTCTTGAACTGACACTCACTCGTCCCCCAGTTTGTCTTTTCCAGGCATTTTATGACAGTGTTCGTGAGGTTACCTCACTGTTGACTTGCTGACAAGCTGGTCTTGATGGTGGTGAGGTTATCCATGCACGGCTAGTATGGGCAAACCCCGACAGACTCGCTTGTTATCGTAGCTGTTATGTCAATACGTCCCGGGTCGTTGTTATGGATACATAGTTACTCTCTAACAAATATAAGCTTCAGAATTTTGTTAACAATATCTAAATCAAGAGCATTTGTGGAGAGCTTTGTCATGTTACTGTACTGTGCTTCAGTGTCCTTCACTTGCCTGTATCTTAAGTGTTTTAATGTTAAATTCTTTTGTGTTGTAAATATTAAATTGATCAAAATTATGTTATGATACATTATTTTTTAAATTTTATTAGTTTTATTTTTTTTTATTTTAATTATTTTACTTTTATTTGGAGTATTGTATATCCTTGATGTTTCGTCATATTGTTCGTATAACCAGTGATAAATCTTTCTTTGATAGCATTTTCTTCTTAAAGATCAAAAGTTCTTCTTTGTAGGCTTTTTCCATTTCTGAATTTTGTTACATCCTTACCTGTGTAAAAATCTCTGACTAGCTTACATCGCAGCCTGCTTCTATATATGGACTAGTTCTGTTTTTCATAGCAAAAAAATATTTTTGGATTCCAAAGGTATATTGCTGACAATAGTCAAGATACATTGCAAAACCAACCTTTATTGGAACAATTTTTGCTCTATGTAGGAAGAGCTTTATCAAGTGATAACTTTATCATGACCTGATAAACCTCTACACAGAGCAAAATGTTATCTTTATACAAAGCTTGTTTCTGCAATGTGTCATTTGTATGAATATCTTTTGCCAAATTCACCGTCCACTTTGTTTGCTGGTGTGTTTGGGCATCCTTATCTTACCTCAGTGACTGACACAACCCACTTCTAATAACTCATAGATTTTTAATAAAACTATCCAGAGGAAATTTTCAATAATTTACTGTTCATTAAAATGTTTTCTCAAGATCTTATTTTCTCTGTACAGTCCTATACATTTGTGTTGTCTCAGTCCTTGAGTGTATAATATAATTAAGGCTGTATTTTATTGTAATCATTAGTTAGTGGCAGAATTCAATCATTTGTTACTTATTTTCATTTGTCTGTATCCCTCAGGAAAAATACCAGAAGATAATGGACCTGCTGCCTGAATTACATTATATTGCTGATAATGGTGAGAAATACTTGTACTACAAGCACATCAATGGGGCTGCACCCACGCAGACTCTGCTGATGGAGATGCTACACACTAAAAGGAAATAGAGAAAGTGTTCAGCTTTCTGCTTTTCAACCGTCCAGTGCGCCACATGTTTATATGAAGGTAAATTTTTGCCCTGTAATGTTAGGTACAGTGTAAGAATCTTGGAATGTTAAGATATAACCAAGATTATTTTACCACTACCTTATATATGTATAAAACTAAATACAGCCTCCTCACTTAGCGATGTACTCGTTTACTGACGACTCGGACTCATGACAGACTCTGACCAGTATGCATACCTGAATAATGTATATTAGAGCTGATTACCTCTCTACTTTTTATTACACTGCTGTGTAAACATTTAAAAATATACTAAAAATGTTAGAAATGGTGCAAAGGTGACATTAAAACAATATCAGAGATGGTTAACACAAACCCACTACCATTACAGTATGCTCCTTGCTTAGAAACAAATTCGCTTACCAAGGTGGTCTTAGGAACAGAACTCTGTTGTTAAGTGAGGAGAGGCTGTATAGTGAAACATTTATGCTTTAATCATTTCTGCAAGTTCTTCCTGGTGAACTATTATTCTTGATCATAAAATCTTCATGAGAGAATGTGTTACATTCACCACAAGTTACATCTAGTTATAGTTTCTCTAGTGGGTAAATATTAAAGTTATGTTTCACTCATTATTATTATAATACTAAAGTGCTATGCCTACAAGGGTCATACAGTGCAATGTTTCACTCAAAGTGTGATAGTTACCCCTAATTTTCTCTCTAATTTTTTGTGAACACATCTAGTATGTGACAAAATTTGGATCTAAAATCTTGTAAATATTATCATATTTTATTATTATTATTATTATCATCATCAAAGAGAAGCTCTAAACCTACAAGGGTATCATATTTTGTACTGTATATTGTGGATATAAATTAACTCTGGCTGGACACACTAAAGTCCAGAATCACGGTCCAGTATTAAAACAACTTTTAAACCATGTAATCTCTAGTCTGCACCGGATGAGCCTGGCCCATGGCCGGGCTCTGAGAGTAGTTAAACTCTTGAAACTCTTCAGAGGTATTCAAAGGTATAAGTATGTTAGTTTTCAAAATTCTTTTATAAGTTGGATACCAACATACAAATGAAACATAGGCCATACACCTTTTTTCAATACACCGTCCATCTTTTACTAAGGTCAGGTGACCCATAAAAAAAGGAAGCACATTCAACATCATTCACTCAACACCTGTCTTACCAGAAGTGTGTTGACAACACAGGTCAGATTACTTTTCTATACTTCCCACCCCTCTAGAGTGCTGGCACTGTATTTCCCATGCCTTCAGTGCTGGCACTGTACTTCCTATACCTCCTTCAAAGTGCTGGCACTGTACTTCCCACACCTTAGTACTCACACTGTACTTCTTGCCCCTCCTTCAGAGTGCTGGCACTGTACTTCCCACACCTTAGTGCTCACACTGTACTTCTTACCCCTCCTTCAGTGCTGGCACTGTACTTCCTACACCTCCTTCAGAGTGCTGGCACTGTACTTCCTACTCTATTCACACCACACATTTCTCTCAGACACAACATCACTGCCTCCAGCCTTCTTGTTGCAACATTCACCACCCATGCTTTGCATCCATATAAGAGCATTGGTATAACTGTATTCTCAGACATTCCCATCTTTGCTTCCATGTATAACGTTCTTTGTCTTCATAGACTCCTCAGTGCACCACTCGCCTTTTTCCCCTCGTCAAGTCTATGATTCACCTCATCCTTCATAGACCCATCTGCTGATACGTCCACTCCCAAATATCTGAATACATTCACTTCTTCCATACTCCCTCCCTCCAATCTGATATCCAATTTTTCGTTACCTAAATATTTTATCATCACCTATTCTTTTCTATGTTCATTTTTGATTTCCTTCTTTTACATGCCCTTCCGACCTTTGCAACTTCTCTTCAGGATCTCCTAAAAGCACAGTGTCATCAGCAAAATGCAATGGTGACAACTCTCAAATTGCGTGAGATTCTTCATCTTTTAATCCCACACCTCTTTCTAACACTTGAGTATTCACTTCTTTTACAACTCCATCTATAAATATATTGAACAACCATGGTGACACCACACATCCCTGTCTAAGTCCTACTTTTACTGGAAAATAATATCCCTCTTTCCTGCATGCTCTAACCTGAGCCTCGCTATCCTCATAAAAACTCTTCACTGCTTTCTATCGTATTCCATACATTTGCAATATCTGCCACATTGCCCCTTATCTTATGCCTTTTCCAAATTCATAAATGCAACAAAAACCTCTTATACTTTTCACTTATATATTTCACTGTAAGCACTTGTCTACACACCTCCTACCCTTCCTAAAGCCTTGTTCATATGCAATCCTGCTACCCGTTTTACTCTCAATTCTTTCAATAATAACTCTGTCATACACTTTACCAGGTATACTCAACAGACTTATTCCCCTGTAATTTTTGCACTCTCTTTTATCCCCTTTGCCTTTATACAAAGGGACTGTGCACTTGGAAAATCCTAGAGGGATTAGTACCAAACTTGCACACGAAAATCACTCCCTATGAAAGCAAAAGGCTCGGCAGGTGATGCAACATTCCCCCAGTGAAATGCAGGGGCACCATGAGTACACTAAGAGACAACACAATAAGTGTCAGGGGCCCAAGACTGTTCAACTGCCTCCTAGCATACATAAGGGGGATTACCAGTACACCCCTGTCTGTCTTCAAGAAGATGCTGGACAGGCACTTAAAGTCAGTACCTGATCAGCTGGGCTGTGGTTCATACATCATTTTACATGCAGCCAGCAGTAACAGCCTGGTTGATCAGACTCTGATCCACCATGAGGCCTGGTCTCAGACTGGGCTGCGGGGACGTTGTTCCAGGTATGCCCTCTGCTAATCCCTAGGTACCCTTCTTTTATACATTTATTAAATATAGGCACCAACCACTTCAAAACTATATCCCCACCTGCTTTTAATATTTCTCTCTTCATCCCACCAATCCCAGCTGCTTTACTCCCTTTTATTCTACTCACAGCCTCATGCACCTCCCCCACACTCACATCTGGCTCTTCACTCCAAGATATTAATACCTCCCTGCCCAATGCATGAAATCATAGCTTCCCTATCTTCTTCAACATTTAACAGTTCCTCAAATTATTCCCTCCATCTTCTCGATACCTCCGACTCTCATCTAATAACTCTCCTCTCCTATTTTTTTACTGTCAAATCCATGCATTCCCTAGGCATTCTCAGTTTATTACCCTCACTCCAAACAAAATTTGTTGATAACATCTCGCCCACTCTCTTATTTGCTCTCCTTTTACATTCCTTCACTACTCTCTTAATCTCTCTCTCTCTCCATATACTCATATATATATATATATATATATATATATATATTATATATATATATATATATATATATATATATATATATATATATATATATATATATATATATATATATATATATATATATATATATATAAACAATATGGCCATATCCCACTGAGGCAGGGTGATCTAAAAAGAAAAGCAAAAATTTTTCTTTTTAAATTTAGTAATTTATATAGGAGAAGGGGTTACTAGCCCCTTGATTCAGGCACTTTAGATGCCTCTTAAGACACGCAAGGCTTACAGAGGAAGAATTCTTTTCCACTTACATGTATATATATCTTTCTTTCAACACACTGGCCGTATCCCACCAAGGCAGGGTGGCCCAAAAAGAAAAACGAAAGTTTCTCTTTTAAATTTAGTAATTTATACGGGAGAAGGGGTTACTAGCCCCTTGCTCCTGGCATTTTAGTCGCCTCTTACAACACACGTGGCTTACAGAGGAAGAATTCTGTTCCACTTCCCCGTGGAGATAAGAGGAAATAAACAAGAACAAGAACTAGAAAGAAAATAGAAGAATACCCAGAGGGGTGTGTATATATATATGCTTGTACATGTATGTGTAGTGTGACCTAAGTGTAAGTAGAAGTAGCAAGACATACCTGAAATCTTGCATGTTTATGAGACAGACAAAAGACACCAGCAATCCTACCATCATGTAAAACAATTACAGGCTTTCGTTTTACACTCACTTGGCAGGACGGTTGCTGTCTACCAACCTACTACCATTATGTATATATTTTTTTTTTTTTTTTTTTTTCAACAAGTCGGCCGTCTCCCACCGAGGCAGGGTGACCCAAAAAAGAAAGAAAATCCCCAAAAAGAAAATACTTTCATCATCATTCAACACTTTCACCACACTCGCACATTATCACTGTTTTTGCAGAGGTGCTCAGAATACAACAGTCTAGAAGCATAAACATATAAAGATACACAACATATCCCTCCAAACTGCCAATATCCCAAACCCCTCCTTTAAAGTGCAGGCATTGTACTTCCCATTTCCAGGACTCAAGTCCGACTATATGAAAATAACCGGTTTCCCTGAATCCCTTCACTAAATATTACCCTGCTCACACTCCAACAGATCGTCAGGTCCCAAGTACCATTCGTCTCCATTCACTCCTATCTAACACGCTCACGCACGCTTGCTGGAAGTCCAAGCCCCTTACCCACAAAACCTCCTTTACCCCCTCTCTCCAACCCTTTCGAGGACGACCCCTACCCCGCCTTCCTTCCCCTATAGATTTATATGCTTTCCATGTCATTCTACTGTGATCCATTCTCTCTAAATGACCAAACCACCTCAACAACCCTCTTCTGCCCTCTGACTAATACTTTTATTAACTCCACACCTTCTCCTAATTTCCACACTCCGAATTTTCTGCATAATATTTACACCACACATTGCCCTTAAACAGGACATCTCCGCTGCCTCCAACCGTCTCCTCGCTGCTGCATTTACCACCCAAGCTTCACACCCATATAAGAGTGTTGGTACTACTATACTTTCATACATTCCCTTCTTTGCCTCCATAGATAACGTTTTTTGACTCCACATATACCTCAACGCACCACTCACCTTTTTTCCCTCATCAATTCTATGATTAACCTCATCCTTCATAAATCCATCCGCCGACACGTCAACTCCCAAGTATCTGAAAACATTCACTTCTTCCATACTCCTCCTCCCCAATTTGATATCCAATTTTTCTTTATCTAAATCATTTGACACCCTCATCACCTTACTCTTTTCTATGTTCACTTTCAACTTTCTACCTTTACACACATTCCCAAACTCATCCACTAACCTTTGCAATTTTTCTTTAGAATCTCCATAAGCACAGTATCATCAGCAAAAAGTAACTGTGTCAATTCCATTTTGAATTTGATTCCCCATAATTTAATCCCACCCCTCTCCCAAACACCCTAGCATTTACTTCTTTACAACCCCATCTATAAATATATTAAACAACCATGGTGACATTACACATCCCTGTCTAAGACCTACTTTTACCGGGAAGTAGTCTCCCTCTCTTCTACACACCCTAACCTGAGCCTCACTATCCTCATAAAAACTCTTTACAGCATTTAATAACTTACCACCTATTCCATATACTTGCAACATCTGCCACATTGCTCCTCTATCCACTCTATCATATGCCTTTTCTAAATCCATAAATGCAATAAAAACTTCCCTATCTTTATCTAAATACTGTTCACATATATGCTTCAATGTAAACACCTGATCTACACATCCCCTACCCACTCTAAAACCTCCTTGCTCATCCGCAATCCTACATTCTGTCTTACCTCTAATTTCTTTCAATTATAACCCTACCGTACACTTTTCCTGGTATAACTCAGTAAGCTTATTCCTCTATAATTTTTACAGTCTCTTTGTCCCCTTTCCCTTTATATAAAGGGACTATACATGCTCTCTGCAATCCCTAGGTACCTTCCCCTCTTTCATACATTTATTAACAAAAGTACCAACCACTCCAACACTATATCCCCCCCCATGCTTTAACATTCTTGTCATGATCCCATCAGTTCAGCTGCTTTACCCCCTTTCATTTTACGTAATGCCTCACGTACCTCCCCCACACTTACATTCTGCTCTTCTTCACTCCTAAAAGATGGTATACCACCCTGATGTATATATATATATATATATATATACATGTTATATATATATATATATTATATATATATATATATATATATCTTATATATATGTTATAAATGATAGAATGGATAGGGGAGCATTGTGGCAGATGTTGCAAGTATATGGAGTAGGTGGTAAGCTACTAAATGCTGTAGAGAGTTTATATGAGGATAGTGAGGCTCAGGTTAGGGTGTATAGAAGAGAGGGAGACTACTTCCCGGTAAAAGTAGGTCTTAGACAGGGATGTGTAATGTTACCATGGTTGTTTAATATATTTATAGATGGCGTTGTAAAAGAAGTAAATGCTAGAGTGTTCAGGAGAGGGGTGGGATTAAATTATGGGGAATCAAATACAAAATGGGAATTGACACAGTTAATTTTTGATGATGATACTGTGCTTATGGAAGATTCTAAAGAAAAATTGCAGAGGTTAGTGGATGAGTTCGGGAGTGTGTGTAAATGTAGAAAGTTGAAAGTGAACATAGAAAAGAGTAAGGTGATGGGGGCATCAAACGATTTAGATAAAGAAAAATTGGATATCAAATTGGGGAGGAGGAGTATGGAAGAAGGGAATGTTTTCAGATATTTGGGAGTTGATGTGTCAGTGGATGGATTTATGAAGGAAGAGGTTAATCATAGAATTGATGAAGGAAAAAAGGCGAGTGGTGCGTTGAGGTATATGTGGAGACAAAAAACGTTATCTATGGAGGCAAAGAAGGGAATGTATGAAAGTATAGTAGTACCAACACACTTATATGGGTGTGAAGCTTGGGTTGTAAATGCTGCAGCAAAGAGGCAGTTGGAGGCAGTGGAGATGTCCTGTCCAAGGGCAATGTATGGTGTAAATATTATGCAGAAAATTCGGAGTGTGGAAATTAGGAGGTGTGGAGTTAATAAAAATACTAGAGGGCTGAAGAGGGGTTGTTGAGGTGGTTTGGTCATTTAGAGAGAATGGATCAAAGTAAAATGACATGGAAAGTGTATAAATCTGTAGGGGAAGGAAGGTGGGGTAGGGGTCGTCCACAAAAAGGTTGGAGGGAGGGAGTAAAGGAGGTTTTGTGGATGAGGGGCTTGGACTTCCAGCAAGTATGCGTGAGTCTGTTAGATAGGAGTGAATGGAGACAAATGGTATTTGGGACCTGATGAGCTGTTGGATTGTGAGCAGGGTAATATTTAGTGAAGGGATTCAGGGAAACTGGTTATTTTTATATAGCCGGACTTGAGTACTGGAAATGGGAATTACAATGCCTGCATTTTAAAGGAGGGATTTGGGATATTGGCAATTTGGAGGGACGTGTTGTGTATCTTTATACATATATGCTTCTAAACTGTTGTGTTCTGGGCACCTCTGCTAAAACAGTGATTATGTATGAGTGAGGTGAAAGTGTTGAATGATGTGTGTACACACGTATCATATACACAGGTGTATATGCAGAAATAGTGAAAATATGCCAAAATGCTGCTCTCTCTAATTTGTCTTTGTTACTTCTGGTAAGAAATTTTCTTTTTTCTTATAGGGTGGACACAAAAGTTTTCGTCACCACAACCAGGCTGGAAGGAGGGTCTCCACCATGACCAACACATACAACCATCCCTGGTCAATCACCATGGGATTCTCTGCTATGGTTTCACTAAGTGAAAACATATTGTAAACACTGCGCTGCATGGAAGGAGCCCTTATGACACTGCCTATCCCACTCAAGCCAGCTCTGGGTCAGCTCTGCTCGTTGTATCACTCAGTAGTTATGAGGTTGAAAAAAAAAAATTTAGGTAGAAAAATTCCCTGCAATGGATATGACTCATATGAAAGTGATGTACTCAAAATTACTGACCATCAACCTAGGAGAGATTTTGCCTGACCCAACACCATTCTACGGTCACAAGTATCCGTCTGGTGAAGTGCTGTGCTAGTCATACCCTCTGAGGGGTGGCAACGTCGTTCCCGAGCCTGAGATATGAACAGTAATCTATGGTGCTAAGCCTTCCTGGGGATACCATAAGGTACAGATGGCCAAAGGACCTCGTTTAAGACAGGCGGCTAGTGGTGAGTGCTGAGTGGTCCCCTGTTAATTGTTACCAGAAGCACCATGGTGCAATCAGGACTAATATAAGGAAGTTGAGGCTCCAAATGTTGATCAGTCAGTGGTGCGCTACTCTCACTGAACGATATTATCCCTTACACATCCTCTGTTTCTGTGGCGCATCATACCTCATTTCTCACTTTTCTTATGGTGACGGTCTCCTCACTCACTTTGGTACAAAGCTCTCACTTGTGAATATGTTTCACCACTTATATATCTATTTATTTCTGAACATAATTGTAAAAACTGGGCATTTGTCCAATCAGCTGCTTGCCCAGATATATAAATATTAACTTGATATATTAATGAATAACACACACAGTGTAGGTGTTGTGAACTAGTTTTTGATACTGTTGTTTTGTACAAGAGATTATAAAGTAACAGAATATTGTATTCTTGCATGAGCAATCATCTTACCCAGATATTGCTACTACTTGTCCAGGAAATGTGTTCGGTGCGAGGTAGGCAGGCTTGACTGCTCTCCTTGTTTCTCTATCACTTAGCTCATAATGATAATTTGTAGTTTGTTAATCAAGCAGAAGCATAAATTTCTAGTGCCTCAACTAGGATAACCTAGCATGTACAAAACAGACATTTTTATATGTTGGGGCACAAGAAGCAGCACATGCAGGGGGCATATGGAGCTTTTACCATTGCAATGAGACTTATGAATACAAAATATTTAACATGTATTAGGTTTTTATTGTTTTGCACTGTATCACACTAATATTTTGTGCATGTATTTAAATAATCACACACACAAACACACATACATACACACTCTCAACAGGCTAGGTGTCTTACTGACAAGTGCCTTTGACAAATGGTAACACACAAAATGCTCCAGGATGAACTGAAAAACACCATGAAAAGGTTCCTCTCCTAAGTTTGGGTTTTTGGTAGAGAAGGAGAGTGAGTGAGTTAAATATAAATATATACACAGGAGAGCCCTGTTTGTACAACTCTGGTTCCCAACCCCGTGCAGTAAGCAAAAATTGCTGCTCGGTGGAAAAAGGAGTGTTTATTTCATTATCTGATGCATCTAAAATGCCTGATAATGTGTTTACACTATCATATATTAAGTAAGTGCTCAATACAGCTAGGCACAAAGAACAGATAGAAAAGTAAAATATACAGTACATAAAATATGGTGCCTGGTAAAACCACTGAACTAACAATGGCTCAATTAAAAGCCAACAACAACATGAAACACTGAAAAGAGGGTGCCAAATACTCAGGGCCCTCCCATAAATATATACACACTCATATGAATCAAAGATATCATATCTTAGGGGAGGAAAACTGAAGCTGGATACTGCTAGGATTGGTATTAGGACCAGCACTATTTCTGGTATATATAAGTGACGTACCAGATGGGACAGCCAAATGCATCTCTGCTGCTGATGTAAATTAAATGAGGACAAAGGCTACAAATGGGTCTAAACAAACTAAGATTAGTCTGATAAATTGTTACTCGAATTCAACCACAGCAAATGCAAGGTTATTAAGATTTTGAAGGGGCAAGATATGAAGCATAGACAGAGAGAGGGGGGGGGGGGCAGATCCCACTCAGAAAGACGTAGGAGTAATTATAGTGACAAGCGCATTGCCAGCGGCATACCTCAACTTAATAACCCCTGCAGCCAGTGCTTGTTTGGCAAATGAGAGTATCATTTAGGAATCTCAACAGTTATACACAAACCTTTATACATGTCAGGTTTATCGTGAAGTATGTAGCACCAGCATCACACCTACATCTGATAAAACACGTTAAAAATAAAACTGGAGACAGTATGGCTATATGCATTGAAGCTGTATATATCCATAAGAGATATGAGCTACAAGGAGAGCATAATGGAACTGAACCTGACAACAAAAAAGCATCCTAACAAGGGAAAACATACAAAATACTCACAGGCACTGATAGGGTAGACAGGGAGAGACAGAGGTGGGAAACAAGTACTTGGGGACACAGATGAGCCACAAGGATGTTAGGAAGTATTTTATCAGCTTCAGGAAGTGAAAAAACCTTGACAAAAGTGGTAGAGGCAGGCTCCATATAGTATAGTTTTCAATTTGGGTATGGTAGGGCCTACTTGGTTAGGAAGGAGTGACTGTCAAGTGGCATGCTGAGGTGGAGCCAGGAGCTATCACTTGATCCCTGCAGTCACATATAGGAGAGTGTATGAAACACATATATACATATATTAAAAGTTACCACAAATTATACATAACCTCCCTACCAGGATAAGTACTGTATGTCTTCCTGCATCTTAAGAAATTAGTACTGAACTTAGAGCAAAAAGTACCATAACATCATACTGAGAATAATTATTGCCCTACTAAATTTCAATTTTACTGTACTTGTTACTGGCAGAAGATAAACAAGAAAGATTACTCTACAATGTAGAAAAATAATTTAAACATTTAATAACAATATGAATCTCAGTGAAATAATTTAGCTTTCAGCACTAGAGCACCGGGGCACAAATAGATAGAAGAGATAAAGTATTTGAGAATACATAATTTGATATTACCTTATTTTCTGGCACATGAAGCATAAGAGTATATGAGACATATAGACAATGGTTCCAACCAATTATAATGTTTGTTAGTAAACAACTGCCAAAGTGTAACACAAAGCTTACCCTTGACCCTGACTTTGAGCATATAAGGCACAGGCTGATTTTCCAAGACTTTCTGTGAGAAAAAAAATGCTCTTTATATGCCAAAAATATGGTACATACAATATATACAACATACATATGAAAAGGTATCTGCAAGGTTTTGTTATAGAATGTTCCTGTCACAAACTGGGAAAACATGTGATATCTTAACATGTGATTTGACTACAATGAAACAGGAGATAATTCCCAGTACTCTTGTGATGTATCATGTATATTGTTAAGAAATAACTTTGACATCAGGAAAGTTCTTTAAATGAGTTTTCTTAATTGTGGTAAAACTGCATTAGTAAAAAAATATTACACACGCACACGCAGCCAACACTGCACGGCAGAAAAAAATAATGCCACTAGAGCCAAAACCTGGGCTAGTGAATGAATAGATTCATTAATGTTTTGTCTGTTGGAATGTGTAGATACTGTGTTATACATCTGTAAGTTACACTCAGAGCTCTACAACAAAGTATAATAACTTGAGCTTTATAATTCTAATATCCCTTACACCTGAGTTTTTCTTCATTGTTTGAATGTGGCACTTGTTGTTGTTGTTGTTTTCTGCTGTGCAGTGCCTCTTACATATATAAACAGTATTTAATACATGCAAATATATTATTTTTATTTCTTTGCCATATGCCTGCTGATAGGGCCAAGTTATAGAAGGAAAGTTAGTGTTGAAAGATGTCAGGATAATGTCTTTGTTAAGCTTGAGTTGCAGTTCAGAATTAAATACTGTATATGTTGTGTAAAAGTGTATACCTAGCAATGAGAAGCAATACTTCTTATTCTTCTTTAGAATTAAATAAATCTATTTAGTTTAAGCGTTGAATTAAGATTTGGAACATTCCATTTCGAGGGATTCACGGGCATTCTTCACTGTGGTTATGCTCTACCTGGGTAGTCTTATGGCATAATCACTGACATCATTATCATCATCATTATCATCATCACTGTTGCTGCTCCACATTCCGCATAGCTACTTATCATTATTGCTAAAACACTGCATTTCTTTCTTGTATCCTAATGGTCTCTATATAATTAATTAAATTCTGTCGAGTTTCCTTTGTAGTTGTTTAAGTTTCTTTTCAGTCCTCTCTCTTTATTGCTACTCATTGCAAGTCTTGAAATTTTGATTTATGCATTTTCTAAGTTTTTCCTTTACTTAGTGATAAAAGCATTAAAGTGATATGTGCTACAGACAGCAGGTAGTGGTATCCCTGCCACTCTCAATGGTATCCCTGCCACTTTTAACATTAATGCTCTATTTCCTATCTCTTGCCTTCTTATGATGTGCATGTAATTTTTTAAAATTATATTTAAATTTACAATACCTATTATATTATGCTTTTAAAACTGATACCAGTGAAAATTTGAGGTGATTTTAGCCTTTAACAAAAACAAAATTATTTTTATACCATTTGAAATCTGTCATAAAATCTACTATAAATTTTTATTATATAAAATACACAGAGTGACTTAGATCTGTCGGGTTATGGTGTACAGCTGTTGAATTCTAAGAGAGATTTATTTTTGGAACCAATATTTTCAGCACAAGAAAGGTGTTGGGATGAATCTAAGTCACCCTGTGCTCATTTTGTCATTATAAATGAAATATTCATTATAAGTGAGATAAGTGCCTAAACACTGAATTGTAACCATAAGGGTCATTTAAGTGTGTTGTGAATAGGCAAATAATCCTAATGAGAATAATTCATTGTTTAGACTCTTTGATTCCTTCATATTTTATACTATTCTATTGTTCATGATACCTATGTTCACTGTAAAGACTTTCAATGACAATTTCTTTCTAAAAGATTTTAGGAAAAAATAATATACTTTAGTATATGTTTTGTAATGACATTGAATTATTGTCTGTTAAAACTGAAACTGTATATATTTCTCATGTTCTGTAAAGAAATACACAAGTGTTCTTTGTAAAAATTGTATTGTAAGAAAAATATATTTCTATCTCCATATGATGATTCTCAAGAGTGTTTTTCCTATGATGGAGACCATAGAAATGCTTTTTAACTTTTCTTAATTGTTTCACACCAGTGCCTATTGACGATTTTTTTCTGTTAAGAGAATCATCACTTGAAGATTAAGTTTTATATAAAACAAACCCAAAACAGGAGTAGCCATGGGATTGTAGGTTCTCTATTAGATTCTATAATTAATGCTAATAATTGAGATGGGATTAATAAAGTGTTTTATTTAGAACATGTGTTTTCTTATATTTCTCCTTTATATATTGTCTTCCAACTCTTCAACCTGACTCAACACATATTACATTCTGATTAAATTTGATACACATTTCTAAGAGATTATTTCATTGTGAAAAATAAGCAGAATAAAAAATTATTACAGTTGAGAATCCTTTATGTGAGATGCTCAGAACAGGAAGTGTCTCAGGTTTCAGATTTTTGTGGATTTTGGAATATTTGTATTACTGTATTTTATGCCACTGGAAATGCTATTTTTTCCCAAAATAAGTCTAGAAAATTTACCCAGCATCTCTGAGGCCAAAGGTTACATTGCTCATAGGCCTCAACTTAAACCTAGAGAAGTGTTTCCATACTAGACAGTAATCTAAGCTCCTGTACACGACCCAATAATGAATTGTGTAAATTATTTTGTATGTTATAATGATAACTAAGTGCTAAATCCACAAGATTCATACAGTGATTATTTTATATAAAATAATGAATAAATAACAAAAATAATCATAACTGTAAAAATATGCTTGTGCTTAGCAGCAGTAGGCTAAAGTAAACAAGGCAATGAAGTGATGGAGTGGGATGGACTGCAAGTAGTATCAGTAGGCTAATTCACCTGTTTACCATCAAACCACCTGCTAATATTTTTACTCACCTCAAATGCAAGCAGGCCCCACAGTTCTATGCCATGAGCTTAGTTCACTCAGATAAGCTGTGAGCTGTTAATCTGGCCCTAGATATGAGAGGAAAAGTCTGTGTGATAAGTGTGCACCATATAAAAAAAAAAAAAATCCTGCAGCATGCAGGACATAAAATGTATAGAGAACCTTCACAGCACACATAACTGCAATAAAACACCTCAATTACTGGGAACACTTGACATTTCTCAACCTGTATTCCCTAGAATGCAGGCAGGAGAGATACATAATTATATACACTTGTAAAATCCTAGAGGGATTAGTACCAAACTTGCACACAAAACTCACTTCCTATGAAAGCAAAAGATTCAGCAGACAATGCAACATCCCCCCAATGAAAAGCAGGGGCACCACTAGCACAATAAAGAGACAACACAATACCTGTTAGGAGCCCAAGACTGCTCAACTGCCTCCCAGCATATATAAAGGCAATTACCAATAGACCCCTGGCTGTCTTCAAGAAGGCGCTGGATAGGCACCTAAAGTCAGTACCCGACCAGCTGGGCTGTGGTTCGTATGTTGGGTTGTGTGTGGCTAACAGTAACAGCCTGGTTGATCAGGCCCTGATCCACCATAAGGCCTGGTCACAGACCGGGCCACGGGAGCATTGACTCCTGAAACCCTCTCCAAGTATACTCCAGGTAATGGTGAAAAAACTGCAACTGTGTTTTTGGTTTAAAACAGCAACTTTGCAGTGCTTTTTCATATGGTTTGCATGGTTGTATTCTTGGTTTCATTTGATAGAATGGAAGATATTACAGAAATTTACATTATTTTGATTGGTTTTAAGACTGAAAGTAGCTTGAAATTGAGCTCAAATTAGCAGAAATGTTAGATTTTTGCTGATATTCCAGAGTACACAAATTACGTCACTCATCCAATATGCATCCAAATGGCCGGTTTAATGTGTGTTCACTGATGCACTGACATTATTACAATAATACAGTATTCTGCATAACAGTAAATCTTCTATTTTTTGTGTGAATAAAAATTCAAAATGGAAAGCAACCGTAATATAAGAGAGTCCTGAAGACATGACTAATAAACAGAGAAAGTGTTGTTTTAGTGCCAGGAATGTCTACCTGGAGTTTACCTGGAGAGAGTTCTGGGGGTCAACGCCCCCGCGGCCCGGTCTGTGACCAGGCCTCCTGGTGGATCAGCGCCTGATCAACCAGGCTGTTGCTGCTGGCTGCACGCAAACCAACGTACGAGCCACAGCCCGGCTGATCCGGAACTGACTTTAGGTGCTTGTCCAGTGCCAGCTTGAAGACTGCCAGGGGTCTGTTGGTAATCCCCCTTATGTGTGCTGGGAGGCAGTTGAACAGTCTTGGGCCCCTGACACTTATTGTATGGTCTCTTAATGTGCTAGTGACACCCCTGCTTTTCATTGGGGGGATGGTGCATCGTCTGCCAAGTCTTTTGCTTTCGTAGTGAGCGATTTTCGTGTGCAAGTTCGGTACTAGTCCCTCTAGGATTTTCCAGGTGTATATAATCATGTATCTCTCCCTCCTGCATTCCAGGGAATACAGGTTTAGGAACCTCAAGCGCTCCCAATAATTGAGGTGTTTTATCTCCGTTATGCGCGCCGTGAAAGTTCTCTGTACATTTTCTAGGTCGGCAATTTCACCTGCCTTGAAAGGTGCTGTTAGTGTGCAGCAATATTCCAGCCTAGATAGAACAAGTGACCTGAAGAGTGTCATCATGGGCTTGGCCTCCCTAGTTTGAAGGTTCTCATTATCCATCCTGTCATTTTTCTAGCAGATGCGATTGATACAATGTTATGGTCCTTGAAGGTGAGATCCTCCGACATGATCACTCCCAGGTCTTTGACGTTGGTGTTTCGCTCTATTTTGTGGCCAGAATTTGTTTTGTACTCTGATGAAGATTTAATTTCCTCATGTTTACCATATCTGAGTAATTGAAATTTCTCATCGTTGAACTTCATATTGTTTTCTGCAGCCCACTGAAAGATTTGGTTGATGTCCGCCTGGAGCTTTGCAGTGTCACAAATGGAAGACACTGTCATGCAGATTCGGGTGTCATCTGCAAAGGAAGACACGGTGCTGTGGCTGACATCCTTGTCTATGTCGGATATGAGGATGAGGAACAAGATGGGAGCGAGTACTGTGCCTTGTGGAACAGAGCTTTTCACCGTAGCTGCCTCGGACTTTACTCTGTTGACGACTACTCTCTGTGTTCTGTTAGTGAGGAAATTGTATATCCATCGACCGACTTTTCCTGTTATTCCTTTAGCACGCATTTTGTGCGCTATTACGCCATGGTCACACTTGTCGAAGGCTTTTGCAAAGTCTGTATATATTACATCTGCATTCTTTTTGTCTTCTAGTGCATTTAGGACCTTGTCGTAGTGATCCAATAGTTGAGACAGACAGGAGCGACCTGTTCTAAACCCATGTTGCCCTGGGTTGTGTAAGTGATGGGTTTCTAGATGGGTGGTGATCTTGCTTCTTAGGACCCTTTCAAAGATTTTTATGATATGGGATGTTAGTGCTATTGGTCTGTAGTTCTTTGCTGTTGCTTTACTGCCCCCTTTGTGGAGTGGGGCTATGTCTGTTGTTTTTAGTAACTGTGGGACGACCCCCGTGTCCATGCTCCCTCTCGATAGGATGGAAAAGGCTCGTGATAGAGGCTTCTTGCAGTTCTTGATGAACACAGAGTTCCATGAGTCAGGCCCTGGGGCAGAGTGCATGGGCATGTCATTTATCACCTGTTCGAAGTCATTTGGCGTCAGGATAACATTGGATAGGCTCGTGTTAATCAAATTTTGTGGCTCTCTCATAAAAAATTCATTTTGATCTTCGACTCTCAGTCTGGTTAGCGGCTTGCTAAAAACTGAGTCATATTGGGACTTGAGTAGCTCACTCATTTCCTTGCTGTCATCTGTGTAGGACCCATCTTGTTTAAGTAGGGGCCCAATACTGGACGTTGTTCTCGATTTTGATTTGGCATAGGAGAAGAAATACTTTGGGTTTCTTTCGATTTCATTTATGGCTTTTAGTTCTTCCCGCGATTCCTGACTCCTAAAGGATTCTTTTAGCTTAAGTTCGATGCTTGCTATTTCTCTGACCAGTGTCTCCCTACGCATTTCAGATATATTGACCTCTTTTAGCCGCTCTGTTTTTCTTTTCCGTCGTCTGTAAAGGGAGCGCCTGTCTCTTTCTGTTTTACATCTACTCCTCCTTTTTCTTAGAGGAATAAGCCTTGTGCATACATCGAGTGCCACCGAGTTAATCTGTTCTAGGCATAAGTTGGGGTCTGTGTTGCTTAGTATATCTTCCCAGCTTATATCGGTTAGGACTTGGTTTACTTGGTCCCACTTTATGTTTTTGTTATTGAAGTTGAATTTGGTGAATGCTCCCTCGTGACGAATCTCATTGTTTATTCTGGACCCTATTTTGAAACTGGCAATTTTTGAATTTTTGTGAAATTGGCCAAATTATTGATTTTCTGATCACTTTACTGGGTAGTTGAAATGGGTAAATGGGTAGTTTCTTGTACTCAATTGATAGAATAAAAGGAATACTAGCAAAATAGCTATGAGTTTGGTTGACTGGAACAATGGAATTGGCCAAAAATAGGGCTTAAAGTGGGTGAAATTGCCAATGCATAAATATTGCCGAGACTGATAACTTGGAGAGAGCATAATTCCATAAGTTTTCCATCAAATTTTGTACTTTTGGTTTCACTACCTTCGAAAAAAAATTCCCAATCATTCATAAGAATTTTTTTTTAAATTCTCCGGCCCTGAGAGCAAGTTTCAGATAAGGGGTTCTGACCCTAAGAAGGTTATGGGAACATTATTAGGTATAAAAAGCAAAAGTAAAAGGGGTTCAAATACCTATACATACTGGTATATGGTACAGGTCCTCCATCACAAATCCGGCATCATTGGGACTTGTAGTGTGTCGGATTACTGAGTTTGCCAGATTACAGAGTGGTTAGGTTAGAATACTTAATAAAATTAATCAACTTGACTTGCACAAAGTTCATTGAACATCGGCAAAAATCAAACATTTCCGCTACTTTGAGCTCAATTTCAAGGTACTTTTCATCATGAAAGCAATCAAAATCATGTCTATTTCTGTAATATTTCTTCCATTCTATCAAATGAGACCAAACAAACAAGAATACAACCATAAAAACCATGGCTGAGAAGTGAACTCCCTTATTTATTGTCCGTCTTTTTTATTTTTGGTGTACGTTAAGAAGCATCTTTCCATCATACATTGCCCAAGTTTCAATGAGATGGCCCAACAAACAACTGAGAAAAAAACAATATTTACCA